ATATATATAGTATAAATTCGGACTGTTTTTGAGAAAATCCGAAACCTGAACGGTATGCAAACTCGCTCTAATCGAACTGTCCCTTGGACTCCGCTCTTTTGAGGCCGTCAAACCCCTCTGTCAGATATTTGGTGACCTAACTTCGTTGTTCAACATCACTTGCTGTCACTCCTAAGCTGGTCAAGAAAGACGATGACGACTATGTCATGTTTGCCGTCATATGTCGGCAGTCAGAGAACCAGTTAAAATTTTGTGTCCGGTCTCCAGTCGTCCCAAGGCGCATAAATCGTAACTGGGATGCTGAGCTTCATCGTCGAATGTCAACGCTTTGTCAATATGAAGCTGGATGTGGTTATGGTCGGCCGGTCTGCTGCCGTTTTCAGTAGTTTTCTCATACGCTTAACCATTTATCCTTGCTAAAAAAACAACTTTTATACAATCTGTAAGTCTAGTCAGGCTTCTTTCTTGGTGATCTACCTTTTAACTCTTACATTTGGTGTAATTTAAAGATAGGTGGCAATCATCATGTTCATAGATTCATCGACAGGGCATGTTTGTTTGTTTTGAGAGGAATTCCTGTTATAAGCGACACTCATTTATCAGCCTCCACTCTCTCCATAGATTGACCTTCGTATGGATCGCTGCCGGTGTGGCAATAGCCGCCGTTGTCTGGTTGATATGTTGTTGTAAAAGGCAGCGAGGTGCAACGAAAATGCAGAAACATTGGGCCTTTCACGAACGTATCTCCCCGATAGCAGTAGTCCAACCTCATCCGAACGATGTAAGTCACTTATTTATCGATCACCTGCGTCCGAAGTAATGTGTATCATGCAGGGCGTCAGCTGATCAGTTGGTGCACACGTTATCCTGTATCACATTGCTAGATAGCTTGGTCGTTTTCCAGCTAACCAGACATCGTATAAAACAATGATTACAGAATGCATAGCGCAGAAAAACTTGCTTGTTCCAAATCCGGTGTCACTGAAACTGAATGGAATTCCACGCTCTATTGATTGGTTGTCGAGCCTAAAAAGCTGTGAGGTCCAGAAAGTTGTGTACGCATTACAAGAAACTAGACCGACTGATTTGAGAACGATGACTTAGACAAGCAAAAACGGAGATTAAAATCGTCTAATGAGGACCAGCTGAATTGAAAGTCCCTAGCTTTCGAACAATAAATTCATCTTTTTTGGAGAACATTACTTTGTCGCTACTGTTTCAATGGCAGCCATTTCGTTCCTCTGTTACTTCTACCACACTCTCAAGTCATATCAGTACTCGCTCCTCTGTTTTTAAGGTTTGGCTTCAGGGTTTTTGAGCCGTGTATTTTGGCTCTACATATGTAGTCGCGCGATTCATGGGGTTTGTTCACACCACTCTGTGAGCGGTCCTTCTTCTGTCATGGTGCAGTCATTCTGGTCTGTCCACACAAAAACTTAAAAACACCGGACTGGATTTTCGCTCTTATTATAACCCATCAGCATTATAGCCATCCTGGCTGGTTTGAGTATGATGTGACCAGATTCAGCAAGAAAATAAATTGCGTTCCAACGCATGACTCGAGTACCGCGCTCGCTCCCCAGGACGGTTTGAGATTGCCACTCCATAGTCTCCACCGTACAGTCACGTGAGCTGGCGGTGCATTGCATATAGCTAATGTCAACGATATTTTTACGCAACCAACGCCACCCTGGAATTTGGATAGGAGTCGCATTCGGTCCTTTGGGCGTGGAGGCGCAAGAAAGCCTCAAAACTGAAAGTCAGCGTTTAGTCGGAAGTCGACGCACTTTTATGGCTAATGCGGCGCATGGCAACGTTCACCAAGGTGACGTAACTCTGGCAAAACAAGAACCGCTTTGGAATTTTACAAAGCACTGCTGTGATTTACAGCGTATTTACATTCTTTGCTTTTTCTATTCATCATTCCCCGGTGTATGGAAGAATTCTGACAAGTTGACGACGTCCCACGCTAAACCCGAATCCCAGCTAGCAGTACTACTAGCAGTCCCAATTGGATCGTATCGCCCACATTGACTAAAATCGCTCTCATGTAACATTGGAGTACTTGCTCACTCAGGGCCGTTCTAAAGAATCTGAAGACCATTTTTTAACAATATAGATAGCTACTAGTTACATGGGTATGAAGTAAAGTCGTAAATCCCACTTCAAAAGTTTTAGTACGCCTGATGCGAATATACATAGGTGCCGAGGACGGCATTCGAATTCACGAGTTTTGAACAGTTCCCTACCTGCACAACTTCTTACCGATAAAAATAACAGGATCACTTGTTTAAAAGGTCTGATTTCCGTTCAGTCGCGTTACTGTACAGCCTTAACTGGAACTGCTGAAACGTGTCAAATGACCCCATAGGTTCTATCTCAGTTATCGGGGTTCGGCATGTACGTAAACACCGACTGAATAAGTGACGTTTTAAAGTTCCTCCACGATATTCTGAATTTCTCTTCGCTAATGACAGCGGCAGACTGAAACAAATCAACGTTAGGAGGCGAGTGGTCGCGATTAGTGGCTCCTAGTTTGTTCATTAAATGGGATAATGTTGTTGCAAACATATTACCATCAATCTGAGTAATGCTCACAGCGTTGTCAATGTCTTTTTGGTCAGTTCTGAAACGCAATAAAATTGCCGAGCTCGCAAATAAAACTCAAACGTGTATACAACTGGAATCAGTAAAACTCATCTCGGCCGAAAATGCAGTTAGAAGATGCCAGCTCCCTCATCAAACGACGAAAAGACTTTTCTCAATATGCGGAGTTTTCGGACTGTTCCTAGCTAGCCCCATTATGAGCTATGGATGAGATCTTGTGAAAACAATTAAGCATTCTGGTACCTTTGCCAGAAACGGGAGGACTTTTCGAAGTATACAGGGCTTTTGTAATGGGCGCTATGTTTCATCTCGGGAACAAATTATCTCGAGTGAGTATTTTCTAGCATTAGTAGATAGGTGTTGCGGCATATGTTTAATGGTTGCACGATACTAACTCATTACTAATTAGCAGCAACCTTTTCGAAAATCACACTACTCTCATTTGTTTCGCATCCAACGAAGTTTGAAGAACCCTCTGCTCCGACTGCATTCGCAAGTGCCAGCGAAGAGTCTCGGTCACTTGTGCCCCGTCCCACAACACCCACGCGTCCTCCCATCGGATTCGGCCCGGCCGAGGGGAGTCCGCTCAACTTGTTTGAAGGAGGACCATCAGCGCCACCGGATCCTGACTTACCACCGCCTCCTTATCCTGGATACGATCGCCCTCCGCCCTATCCCCTAGTGTCTCATCAATGTGAGCCACATATTTAGCTTGCTGGGCGGCTTGACGTGTTGGAAAGCTCAGCGTTCTGCGTATTTTATCAAAACAACCATGCTGCCAATCTGATTCATGTTCTGTGCTATTCAAAACCAAAGAAATTCTTGCCCACCTTCCAGTATGCCATTGAAATCAGTCCTCTTATCCTCCTTTATCTAGTTTGTGAGTCCTGTGTATCGTTCTCTTTCGTAATCTCACGTGTAAGTTGGCAAATTTTACCCTGCTAACCAGAGGAAAGACAACACAACAACCTGAAGTTCGTGTGATTTTTTTGCACCAGATACACAAGCTACATATTTTCCAACATTTTCTTGTTTATATATCTGGTTTCACAGGCCTTATCTTATAGTTCTTTTTTAATCAGAGCATTGTATATGCATTTCACTTCAGATTATCCAATGTGCTTCATCATTGTTTTTTTCCAATGACAATTTTTATAACATTGCTTTCCGCTTGTTTCACCGTTGTGATTTCACTTAATTTGTTACTCTGGGCCGAATTTTCGTAATGATTTTACATTCCTTATAACTTGTTTTTGTTAATGACTCTCACCTCGTAGGCCTAGCACTTAGGTCTCATGACTCCGTTCGTCATGCACCGGTTTTGAGCGCAACATGGCGCCGATATCCTCAGATATCTCCAAATCAATCTTCAAACCTCGACACCCAGTCTGGGAAAAAGGAGTCTGTCCCAGACATCTGGGAAGAATCGGTGATAGTGCCCTTGTTCCAAAAAAGGGGTGCCTAGTGAGTGTGGTAACCACAGGGGGATCAGCTTGACACCGGTCGTAACGAGGCTGTTGGCGTCAATTGTGTCTCGTCGCCTTACGGTGGCTCGTGAGATAGTGACCCGAGAGCAGCAAGCGGGATTCCGGACTCGTAGGGGTTTCGTTGACCAAATCTTCACACTGCGTCAGGTACTAGAATAACGCCATACGCATAAGCTACCCACAATTCTAATATTCCTCGACTTACAAGACGCATTCGCCTCGGTTGATCGGTCTGATCTTCTTGAGACACTTGCACACCGAGGAGTGCCCCGGAAGTTGGTAAACATAATACGTCCTTTGTGTTCTCAGACTTCCTGACGTGTAAGAGTATACGGAGAACTCTCCAAAGGCTTCCGTACACAAAGCATTGTCTGTCAGGGATGATCACTCCATTCCTTTCCAACTTCGTGATCGATGAAATATGAGACGAACGCTGGAGAGTCTCCAAAAACCCTGGTGTTCAAATAGCCTGTGAAGAAAACCTTGTCGGTCTGGAGTACGCAGGGGATGTCGTTCTCATCTTCGAAGAGGAGGAGAAGGCGCAGGTGTTTTTGGGTGAATTGACCGAAGTCATCCCGTCCTTTGGCATGCATTTTGCACCCACAAAGTGTAAAGTCATGCTCGTGGACGTGCAGTCACTGAACGCGCCATTTACAATCCAGAGAGATGTACCGGAAGTTGTGAAGCGTTTTACGTATCTTGGAATTTGTATTAGTTCTGATTGTAGTGTGACAGATGAGGTGAATGCATGGATCTGCAAGGTCCGGGTCGCGTTTGCTAATTGGAGGCACCTATGGCGTCAGAGTGGTATGTCCTTGAATCGCAAGAGGCTACATTGCGGGCCGTTTTGTTGTATAGATGTGACACTTGGCCTGTTCGAGCAGCGGAGCTGAGGCGTCCTCAGGTTTTCGACAATCGTTGTCTCAGAACCATAGCTCGTGTGGGTTCGTGTCGGCATACCCGTAACAAGCTAATTAGGAACGTCCTCAGCGGTGCCGCTCATCAGTCATCTCCCAGGGGAAGCTAAACATTTGACGCACAGGAACGTACTGCTAGGTTTCTTCAAAGGTATACATGAGCGGGCGAGGTACCCAGGCCATCTGTGATCCGGAAAGCTTAGAATATGAGCCCAGTTGCCTTGAATGGACTCATTCAACCTGTTCGTGTCCAGCCGACAATCACATCTGGAAAAACGCAGAAAAAACACTTTCTGATGTTATCTGGTAAAGAATTTTGGCCTAAAATGCCCTTCCTCCAACTGCAAAAGGAGCACCCTCCCGGACTTGTTAAGAATCGCCGGGACCGAAAGCATCATCCGCAATAATGAAAGCAGATTATTAGTCACATATTCAGTTTTGGTGGACACTTCCATAGGTAGTTGTAGTTGTCGTACGTTGTAAGGACCTCCTTGAATTTACCTGCCACAACCCGCCGGAAATCGTACGATTTGGTTCCGTATTACTCCGGAGCATTGTGGGTGCCCATCCCCTCTACGGTCAGCCTCCGGTACACACGTAGTACAAAGACTTATTAACCCCATATTGTCGAAAATAAGGACGTGACTGATAAATTATTTGTCCTCTAAAGTAAAAACCAGACGGCGTAAAACCGGTGCTTCACTTGTATGTGCATACCAGTTTACGACATCAAGAGCGACAACAGATTCTCATATTACAACGTACTCTAAACGCATTCAACAAAAATTCCACCCAGGTGAATAGTTGAATGACGTTTGTTTGGGTTGCCCTTGTCGGATTTGACATATTGGTTGAGCGAGTTCAGCGAAATTCAGAATGGAGCTTTTTTCGGGAAGATTGCTCAGCGTTTGGTCTTATTATTAGGAACAATGTTTCTTGCAATGGTGATGCAAGTGTGCACGTCTTTGGATGATTCCAATCCTCGAAATTTACAACTAGTCAGCAGGTAACACGTCAGTTTGAGATATCTGCATGGAAATTGCCGGCGCACATTATTTTACCAATTGAAGATAGTGACTGTCTTTGGCTGAACTGTGCCATAAATCGCAACGACCGCCGGAAAATAAGGCGAGCCAGTGTTCTTTCATACGTTGTTGTTTACCTCGGCTACTTGTCGTGAATGCCGGGTCAGTTCTTATGTGCGATCCTGGTTATGAGGCCACAACTATTCGTAACTGTATTCGGTTCCTCATGCACGTATGCGTTATGTCTGACGTGCCTTCGCCTGAAGATCACAAATTCACGTTTATACTTATTGCACGCACCGTTACAGGTTCCAGTTCTCCATTTTTGCGGACCACTTTCACTCCACGTAGATTCTGAAAGGCAAAATATATACTCAATTACGTCTCGTGTATATCTTTAGTAACAGTACCGAAAAAGTAATACTTTAATAAAGTTTGATGCCAGAGATAGTACATGAGGCTCGCGAACGACCGATGCAACCGCGAGCGAAATCAAAGCACGTGACCACGCTTGTATTCTGTGAAATTGTACAAGTGCTCGTTTTTGTAGTTTTTCGTATTCAAACAAAAAACGATTGTGCAATTGACGAAATACGCAGTGTTATAATGGAAGCAAAATAAAAGTACAAAACGCCACAGCTGGAGGGTGTTCTCAGCTCCATTTGGTTGCAGATCCAATTTACAACGCTTCGTGCTTAGAGACTCCGACATCGAATATCCCTCAGTAATGTATTACCTACATACTCTAGGAGAGCATCTCACGCTCTGGAGGTTTCCCCGGCCGCAATATCAATATGAAGGACAGCTCCCTTACGAGCCGATGGCCGCCCAAAATATTCCAGCTGAAAGTAGAATAAAGTATTCGTTCAAATAATGAATAATTTATTGCCTGAGCTGAATCGTAGCCAGCGAGTAACTTGAAAACTTCTTGGTGACATCGTCATAATCAGTGAGATTTCTGCCCTCACTGCAATTTCAGGAGTATAAGGGGATCCTTTAATCAACACTCACAGATTTGGTGATATTAGGACTTTCAGTGAGGACTTTGCTGCTCCAAATGATCTATTGTTGATCAGGCTTACTTGAGCGGAATAGGAGGAACACTGTGGCTTTTTGTACCTTTATTTTACTTCCATTATAACACCACATATTTCATCAATTGCACAATCGGTTTTTGTTTAAATACGAAAAACTACAAAAACGCGCACTTGTACAATTTCACAGAATACAAGCGTGGTCACGTGCTTCGACTCTCTCTTCTGATGTCGCTCGCGCTTGCAGCGGCCATTCGCGAGTCTCATGTACTAACTCTGGTACCAAAACATTTCAGACATCTTCGGAATCTATCATATGTGGGAACTGTTCAGAAGAAGACCTCTGGACCAACATGATTGGATCATTGTTTATTCGCTGATCTGGGCCAACGACGAACTATTTTAAAGGGAACAATTGTTAGTGAGTCTGTTCCGTCTGATCTCTTTATTTTTGTATGCCCAACCTAGCGTAATCATTTTTATTTCTTGGCCACACACTCCTGGTAAACTAACTTATTGGGTAGCCAGACCACTACAACACTCAGATGCTGCTGTCGAGTTCATGTTTGAAGTTACAAGTGGCAACCAGTTGTCAACATAATCTGCGAGTACGGACCAGTCGAACGATTCGGAACTCGCCTCATCCATATTGTTTCGGCGGGCAGTCAGAACACCTCACCAGAACCGGATTTCAAAACGTATACAACTCAGGCAGTTGCCACTTCGGTCAAGTGCCGCCTTGAGCTCACGTTCACCCTTTCAGCATTCTCGGTTTTTGGTGTGGATGTCGTCCTAGTCCAATTCGCGGTACGGGACGGAAACAACCATAAAAGCATACTGAAACTAGCCACACCTACTATCCACAGAGGACGGAGAAACTGCATCAGAGGACACTTTTACAGACGGAAAATACACGGGAAACCGTAGCAAACACCAAAAGTGCACTGGGTTCCGTTACCAGAATGTAGAGCACAGCTCACGTTGTTACATACTCCAACAGAAGATCAGAGTACAAAAATGGACGAAGGCTGGAAGATCCTTTACTCACTACTGACATCCAAGAAACCGATCAAATAGGACGAACTCTCTCAAAACAAGAAGATAAATGTTGTCAAACTGAGCTGCGTGTAGCTGGCTAGGACCTTATCAGAGTGTTCGGATAAATTAACAAGCAAAGTAACCAATACAAAATGACAAAATCACAATGGGAAAAGAATGAGTAGTCAAATGAGGACTCACGAATGTGTAGATCCAAATGCAGTAGCCGGCTGTGAAAGGAAATATTCAC